CGGTCAACGGTCATAGGACTCAGCCTTTGCAGAGTCAGCTGCCTCAGAGTCTTTGCTCATTTAGTCATGCTATAAGCACCAACTGAATACCCACTGCCTGCACAGTCCTATCCTGTTCACTAGAGATACCAAACAAAACAAATATGCTACCTATCTTATATCACTTACATTTCCTTGAGGGATGGAGAGAGAAAATAGTAATAATACATTTACCAATTAATTTCAGACAGTGCTAAGCACAATGGGGAAAGAAAATGAAAATCTGCAAGGGTAGAGTTGGGGATGGCTTCACTGACCGCACTCTTGACCATCATCTTGATGCTTATTGTAAAAATAAAGGAGTCATTTTTAGCTAGCTTTGTAAATAGTCAGGGATGAAAGGCAGCACCTGCAGGATCAGTCCTTGTATGACATTTCCTACTTGGAGGGTTCAGCAGACTTCCATCTTCTCTCTGGCCAGACTCATTCTTCTTTTGGAGAGTTTCATCGATAGAACTAAAGAGCTGGAGTAGACTCAGGCTCTAAAATCTGAGCAAACAGCCTCTGCATGCCTGAGCACTGATACAGCTATAAAATCCTAGTGCCAATGTCACACTAGATATCTGCTGGAATAATGAAAATGTGGATCGATGAAGCATCAGAGGGTGTGAACAACAATGGCAGGAAAATGATAATAGAGACATAAAGACCTTCAACATTTTAAATTGTCCTCTCTCCATAACTCAAGGTTGTCAGTTCTCCATGATGTCCAGGGCATGGCAATCTTTTCCCCTCAGATCTGTGACTTTTGAGTCCATGCGGACCCTTCCTGGGTGTATTCTAACAGCTCTCCTAGGTGCCTCTTGGACCATGGGACACATTTTAGACTCTCAGCCTCATATTTAAATGTCCAGCTCAAATATCTACATGTGACAACAAAGAAAGACTGAAACTTGGTCACTGATGAACCAATCAATATCTTTTGTAATATTCCACAAAGGGAAAAAAACACCTGCCACAACTTTTTGTGACCGAAATCTGGATGTAGATTCAAGACAATTGTTCTGAGTGCCCTGAAGTTTTCGGAAAGATAACAGAGGTGATATCTTGTAGCTTGCCACATCTGTCAGTAGTACAAGGTTCCTTATGAAGACTATTACGACCAAGGAAAGATACCCTCTGTGGAAAGGGAGACAAGCCAAATCAATAGGACACTAACTCTAGGACTTGGAGTCTAGTGCACTGTCCTATCTCTTCCCTTTACACACAATAGACAGATACGATTCAAAATATTTTCTTCAAGTAGGGAAAACCACAGGCTATTTCCAAAGCTGTCAAAGCTAAAGTATGAACAGATTTTCACTGATGTGCATGACCCTCTAATCAGCCTAATTCTCCTTCACCAGTAATCTGCCAATTAAAGGGGCCTCAGATCAAAAGCCTTTTCATAAAGCTAGACATGTGGTATCTGATAGCTCCGAATACCTTTGAAATTGGAACTAATTTTATCTTTGAAATAAGATTAAAACCTTACGTCATTATTGTTATTATTATTATTATTATTATTATTATTATTTTGCTTTTTCAAGACAGGCCTTCTCTTTGTAGCTCTGGCTGTCCTGGAACTCACTCTGCAGACCAGTCTGGCCTCGAACTCACAGAGATCCACCTGCCTCTATTTCCCTGAGTGCTGGGATTAAAGATGTGTACCACACCCAGCTTATTATTATTTTTTTTATAGAAGGTTATCCTTAAATTTGTCCTCCAGTGTCACAGGGTCAGTCACATCATCTTTTACTACCATTGCTGAAAATTAACATAAGCTTGTGAAAGTCAAAAAAATCTTTTTGTTTTTAAATTTTATGCCACAATAGACATGATTAAAATGAGGAGTGCCCAAATAATATTAATAATGCATTTTCTTTTATCCAAAGCAAATGCACTTTGTTCCTAAGAGATTTTTAATACATTGCCTTTTTTTTCTTTTGTGGAAGGGAAAGGAGGGGGAATGAAAGGATTTAACGAAAGATACATATTTGACTTATGATTATAAAGTAATTGCTATACTAATTTTGAGTTTACGTGGAGATACTGGGTTTTGAAGTAAATGAAAAGCAAATTACATTTCTGTTCAAACATTCAAAGTTACCCCTTTGGTACAGAGCTGCTAAGAGGTACTATCTGCTAGGCCATGGAAACGGTGCAGCCACATTACAGGAACTTATATGGACTAGATCTGTATTTGTATAAAAACTTTCAAAGGCTTCAACTGTCATAAGACTTGTATAGACAATCTTAAGATGCCCTTACCTATCTCATCCTCTCCTTCTGCCCATCAAAGAAAAGGCCAACAGGAATAGTTAAATTCAATCATCATTATGGAAGGCCGAGTGTACAGCTTTGCAGGCAGACATGGGACATGCCTGTTCTCTGAAGGGTTCTGCCTCCTTATGCTGCCTTACTCCACAGGAGCTGGGGAGGTTAAATGGCTCTGGGACAGCACCTGCCTTGGGAGGTCTCTCTGCACGAAGATCAGAAGCTGTTTGATGAGCCAAGACTGTATTCTCATTGAGGCACTGTTCTCTAAATATAGTTACTCTCCTCCGAGGGTGGTAATCATACCTCCAGGGAAGTGAGATTGGAAGGTGAGCACAGGAGAGAGAGAGAGAGAGAGAGAGAGAGAGAGAGAGAGAGAGAGAGAGAGAGAGAGAGAGAGAGAGAGAGAGAGAGAAAAGCTGCAAAATTGAATCCAGCTTAGTCCACAGACCACTCTGGGGTTTTCAGCAGAAGCTCCAGCAAATCGTGAACATGTGTTTGCCAGGCATCTTGCCCTGTCTATTTTCCGTCCTGGATGGTGCAAAAGAAAAGATGGAGAAGCATCATCAGGGGAATTGTCAAGATTTCTTGATGCTGGTTTTTACCTCTGAGGGACTTCTTGCTAAGGTTCTAGGGCTGCGCCCTTCATTTTCCCAAACAAGGGTTTATGGGTACTGGAAAGCGAGAGAGTAGAGCAGTCCCAGAATTCCAAGAGTGCTTAGTTAGTGGGGGAGGAGTTTGGAAGAAGCTTGTTTTCTGTGGAAGCTAGCAGTAAGGAACCATCAACCATTTAGAGTCTCAGCCCTCTGGCTGCTGTATCTTTTTCTCTTGGATTGTTTTAAAGATAGAGAAGATTTTTGAAGGCCCATTCCCTCTGGGCCCTGCTCTATGAGGGATGAGCAAAGAGAAGCTTCTTTGTGGCTAAATTCTATGAGAATAACACATGAAGCCTACAAAAAAAAAATCTTAATTCCAGTGACCTTAAATCACCCACAGTGGGAAGAACAAAAATTCTGCAATGAAGAATCACTTGTGGGCGTAAAAGAACAGTTATGATTTACCAATCTAACCCAATGGGTAATGTGACTATAAGAAAATGTCTGTCCCCTCAAGTGAGTTACAATTTAGTATGAAAAATTAGCAAAATTCTTGGAAGGAAGTCATGGATCCTAGCCTATGGCACATTGTCACTGTGACCACATGTCTAAGATAATGCCATGAAAGAGAGGGCTATATTTTGACTTATAGCTTCAGAGGTCTTGGTCTGTGGTCATTTGGTTCCATTTGTAAGGTTGGCTCCCATGGTAAGGAATCCAGGCACGAAAAATCAAGTATCTTACATTCTTATCAAATATGGAGCTATAGTGTCCTTCCCCGGTAGGCAAGGGCAGTGGGAAGTCTCTTACCTATTTCTAGCAGAGAAATGTCAGGTACCAGCAGAGGTAAAGAAGTCAAGGAGGGGAATGATATAGGGCTGGCATTATTGACCTTCAAACACTGGCTGGGCACTTACTTATAGCTGTGAACACAGTTTAGACATGGCTCCAATAGTTCTTCTAAATGTGACCAGCACTAAGAATGATGTTTTACAGAATGGAACAGAAATGTTCCAATGGCACTGGGTGTTGCCGACCAATTCTGTAATTTAAACTACTTCAGAATTTTCAAAGCAGCAACTTAAGGAGGTACAGCAGATGCATGTCTCTTTATAAGCTATGGATTTTTCCTGATAACTCCAAAGCTTTAAATGAGACTTAAATACAACCAAAGGCAACTCTGAAAACACCAAACAGAAACCATGAGCCGAGTTTCCCACAACTAGACTCGTCTTGTTCTTATTCAAATGCAACATTCCCCCTTTCATGAAGCAATTGGCCAATCTATTCAACTTAATGTAGGAAACGCTGCTCTGTAACTCCATAACTGCCCAAATTACTCTCGTCTAAAGTCCTATAGTTTAGCTTTAGCCGTGCTTAATGAAATATATAAACACTTTAAATGGATCTTTAAATCCTATTAATGCTTCTAACCCAGCTCTTATGCACAGGTGCTCTCACAAATGGTTTCTTAATTATCAAGTGGAGACAGTATTTTGCATTTCCTTCCTTTTTTTAAATTTGACAATGTACATGCTTTTATGCCATCCTCAAAACCAAAGCTTCAAAGTACTGGTTTTGAGGCAGAACATTTTAATATATTTCTCACAAATGTTTTGTGTGAAAAATGTCACTCATTGTATTGCAAGAAACCGAACCATCTTCCTAAGGACTCAAAGCCCCTGAGTTTTACAGAGTCCATCCAACTGAAGCAAAACTAAATAGAAAGAGATGAGAAGAAAGGAGTTGTTTTGGGTCCACACACACCATCGACATATAGTTCTGCTCTGCCAGGCACTTCAGGGAAGAAACAGATGCTGTCATGAAATCTATTTTGCTGAAACCAGAGAGAAGACTAGCAAAAGACAGAGTTGTTACCAGTTCAAGACATTTTACAAAGGGTTTTGCGGTGTCAGGCTACAAGATGAATCCTCGGAGGTCAGCAAGGTTTCCTGACCCAGTTTCTGTTCATTGTTTGTACGAGTCGTGTGGAATGCCGTCCACGCTCTATGAGCAACATGGGTACCAGGTTGGAATTATTTAGGACCACCAAATAACAGGGTTCAACAATAAGTAAAACAGCTGAAATATCCAACAGTCTGGTCTAACCTGGGATGCTCTGTCTCCTCACAGCCAATGCTCCGTCAGGCGGCTTTGTCTGGCTGGCAGATTTAGTGTAGGGACTCTCATCTGCAACGGCACAAGGAAGGGTTTCGTTAATTTCCATCCAGTTCCTAGCGCGGTGAAGATCTGTCACGGATTGCAATCCTTCTTCCAGAGAGAGGTAGCCAGGGGTAGGAAGGAAGAGATGGTGACCTGAGCCCTACATTCGGGTGAGTTTTAGGATGGGTGGATGTTCTAAACGTCAGTTTCTTCTTGAGAAAGAGAAACACAATTCTCAGGTAAAGATCAAAAGCTAAAATGTACATGGAGACATTTTTAAAATGATAAGAAGTGCGCTAATAGGCATGCCAATCCTTTGCCCGTTGTCTATACCCACCAAATAAGCAGTGAGTAGGTGGAGCAGGAAGACAAAGATCGAACCAAATGGCTCAGTGGACACTGAGAATAATCAGGTAGAAGAATGCAGGACAGGAGCGGAAATGCAGAATTGCAGATAAGCAGATGAAAGAACGTTAGTACCGCCAGAGAATAAGGACAGCAGTTAGTAGGCTCTTCTTGGGAACATGAACCAGCATTCAGGGTAAAGCAGAGGAGTGGGGTCATTCCAGAGGTCAGATTGGAGAGGCTGAGAAATGGGGACAGCTTGGCAAAAGAAGACAAGGATCGCAAAGAGCTGTATGTTCTTTCGAAGAGAAATGAGTTAAAAACAACCTGTCGTGCACTACAAAGAGCCACCGAGAAGACAGGGGGTCCAAAGCGCTGCACATTTGTGAGCATTAGGGAAGAGGCTGAGCAATGGAAACAGGAGGTGCCAAGATCACGGAGGAGATGGGGCCACCAAATTATAAGTGAAGAGATTGGCTTAGGATGTCTTCTGAGTTGGAAACATGAGTCGTGACATGGGGGAGGCTCACGTTAGTGTTAGCATAGGAAGGAACGATGCTTCCAAGTTTGCACCGAAGCATCGGTTGTGGTTAGTAAAGGAGATGGAAGGAGGAAAAAAAACCCTTAAGCATCTCAGGAACAGGATTGATATGGCTTGAGAGAAAAAAATCCTGTAAAATAATGACCCAGCACACTCAGTCAAGCTGCGTGACACGGTGACACCTCATCCCACACTGGGACATGTTTGTTAGAGCTGTCATTGTTTTAACTGGAAATCATTAAAGGATTAAAAGGCATCATATTGCACATGGCAAACTATTAAATGTAACAAGCATTTAATTCAGCAGCAAGGTTTATCATCTGAGGGCTGGGGCCCATTAATTCTCGCAACTCGGTGGTGTGTGTTTCCACAGCGAAAATGCTCATTTCTTCCCTAGGATGTACGCTTCCTGGAAACGATTCACGAATTCTCCATAAAACAAGCCATGTCTTTATAAGCAACGACAAAAGGAAAGATTAACACTGCTGTAATGGCAATTAACTTGAAGAACGGCAGGCATGTCGTTTCATGTTCATATACCATTTATCACACAATTCTGTTCGTTTTTTTTCTCCCCAACCATAACAAAGCTATCGGCTTTAGGGTACCGAAACAACTGACATCATTCACGTTGGTTCTGAGCATCTTACTTAGGTCTTGCACTCATCTCATTGCAAACACCGTGTTGAGGACAATTAAATATCATAAAACAAATCTAAGCATTCCATCATGAAAGGGGCCATTTGTCCCATTACCCGTTTCCACCCAAAGAGGCCAGCGAGGTGCCCACCTTGTTAGTTTAATAACCAGCCTTCGCTTCCTACAACCATCATCCAAACCTGAAGAGGCGAGTCAGTTTCCCACATTGTTAATTTAATAACCAGACATTCGCTTCGTACAACCCAGTTGTAGCTGGTTCTGTGCAAAAGCCTGAGCCTCACAAGACTGTTTCAATATTGTATTTCCTTTCCTTGGGCCACAACTTGGCAACCGCTCATTTATAAAGACGGAGCCCTGAGCCAAGTGATGTCCATTACACACCCAGGTTCAGGAACGGCAACCTAACTAAGGCTTCCTCAGTTATCAACTGATCAGCAAGGCCCTGGATTGAACGCAGTGTCGGGGTTTCATGAAGGGCATCAGAGCTTTTCCCAGGGGACTCTTGGGTGACTTTCCTTTCATGCTCTGTTTTAAGGAGGAGACCATTTTTGACAAAAGAAATTCACCTAGTCTGCACTATAGAAGTAGTCAACCCTGTTGACCTGTTTTCTCATTTATATTTGAAAGCTACTTCCTCGATTGAGGGCTAAGATCCTCCAGAATAAAAGTTGAAACTGAACTATAGATGGCCACCTGACCATCACCATTTGCTGCCTACACCCTCCCTCCCTCCCTGAATCAAGCACGTCCTTCCCAGGCGCACGGGAAAGGAAATACGTATCCAGAAGCCAAAAGCTATGTTGGCCAAATAATCGTAAGGTAAAAGTTCAATATCAGCGAAAAATAGCTTGCTAAAGACATCAGGGTGATGACTGCAATGCCTGATGGGAGTGAGGCTGGCAACACTTTGTCATGAGCCCTCTGGAGGGCTGAGCAGCAGAGAGGCCTGGTACAACTTAATGCCGTTACTAAGAGACTTCACGAGAAGCTGACTCTTCACTTTCAGTGTACCAGAGGCACCACAGGTCCTCAGCTACCCAACCCAGAATGGACCTCGGCTCCCTGGAGGTGATTTAGTAAAACTCAGCTCTTGACTCAGACTTTGTCTGCAAATGGAAATTGAGAAAAGGCACAGGACCATCAGCAGTCAATACTCCACTGTAGGACACCAAAGAGCAAGAAAGACAGGGTATATTTTGTTTTAACCTATTTTACTTTTTAAAAAAGAGTAAAATATTTAATATATTATTTTTATGTGTCTAGTTGTTTTTCTTGCATGTATAGTTGCGCACCATGTGTGTGCCTGTCTAGTGCCTGTAGAGGCCTGAAGAGGGCATCGGATCCCCTGGGACTGGAGTTACAGATGGTTGTGAACTGCCATGTGAGTGCTGGGAACTAAACCTGGGTTTTCTGGAAGAGCAACAAGCATTCTTAACTGCTGATCCAACTCTCTAGCCCCTTATTTTAATTTTAACTATGTGTGTGTGTGTGTGTGTGTGTGTGTGTGTGTGTGTGTGTGTGTGTCTGTGTGGGTATGTGTGCACAAGTGCAGTTTCCCACACAAACCAAAAGAGGTTTGAATCCCCTGGAACTGGAATTACAGACAGACGTGAGTCACCTGATGTGGGTGCTGGAAACTGAGCCCCAGCTTCCCTACAAAAGCTTGGTGTTCTTGCCGAGTGGTGGTGGTGGTGCACGTCTTTAATCCCAGCACTCAGGAGGCAGAGGCAGGTGGATCTTTGTGAGTTCGAGGCCAGTCTGGGCTACAGAGTGAGTTCCAGGAAAGGTTCCAAAACTACAGAGAAACCCTGTCTCAAAAAAAAAAAAAAAAAAAAGCTGCTCTCCTAATTGCTGAGCTGTCTCTCAGCTTATGAATTTTAAATCCTTTACCCAAAAGCAAGGGAACCAATGGAGGTTTCTATTACACTTTCTCCCTTGTGTCTTTTAAGCTGATTTGTATATTTATCCATAGAACTTCATATTTATGTAGCAATGTAGACAGTTTTTTAAATGTTACGGTTAATACTGAAGCCCAGAGAGATCTGTAGACGGAAACACCCTGAAAGTGAGCCTAGACTGAACTTCTTAATTTTCTTATTCCCAGACTTGAAAGATCTTATTTCCTCTTGGATAGACAAAATTTTACAGGCCCATAATGAGCCTGCATGCTGTTGTAGCAGGCAAGGATGTGATGTGTCTTGGCACACAAAGCCAACAGACACTGTGTGGTGTGGGTACCTCCCACGGGAAAGCCTGGGAAGTGTGTCATCTTTTCCTCCTGTGAAAATGTGAACACATTATTCTCTCTCCTCATCTGATTGCGTAAAGTGAAGAAGAATAAAAGGGTATGATAGAAACAAATCATAGGCTCAGCTTTACATTTAAAATGTGTGTGTGTGCGCGTGCGTGTGTGTGTGTGTGTGTGTGTATGTGTGTGTGTGTGTGTGTGTGTGTGTGTGTGTGTGTGTGTGTGTGTGTATGTGCGTGCATACCATGTATGTGTGGGTGCCCATAGAGGCCACAAGAGGACACCAGATCTCCTGGAGGTGGAATTACAAGTGGTGGTGAGCTCCCTGACGTGGGAGCTGGGAACCAAACTCTGTTCCTTTGCTGCTGATCCATTTCTCCAGCCCCCCAGCTTTACCTTTGGATCATAAAAATCTAAAAGGGATGCCAATATAACTCCTTGCTCCCCAGCATGGTCCTAAAAGAGTCTTTGGATTTCTTTTAAGATACACATTAATATTTTCACTTTGTTTCATTATGGAGCCAACTTTCATATGTAGAAAAGAATTAAACGTAGATCAAATAATAAAATATCTGAGTGCATAACATTTCTAGAACAGTACAGCATATGTAATAGGCATTCAGTAATATTTTGCTGATAGACTACAGTATTATGAAAAAGTATATAAGCATATTCCCACCCACTCTGTTTTTCTTTCTCCTAGTTTTTATTTTGGTGGGGGGATCTAGGTTTATAGACTATCCCTGTTAAATTCACATTATAACCCAACAACTATTAACTGACAACCTAATGTGACAGTCTAAACTACTTTTTCATTTTGTGGTTGGTACCATGGCATGTTAGAAATATGTATTTATAAAACTGGTATTAAATATATATTTTCTTTCACATTTATTCAGATTTTTGGGGACAATTTGTCAAACAATATTTATTTGTTAACTGATGTACTTATTGAAACAAGGTCTCTTGTAGCCCACATTGCTTTTGCATTTGCTAGGTAATTAAGATGGCTTTGAACTCTTGATCTTTCTGCTCTACCACCTGAGTCCTGGGGTTACAGATGTGTGTGGTGATATTTTAATTGTGCTGAAATGTGATTTTATTTGTATGTTAATAAATAAAAGTTTGCCTAGAGATCAGAGGTCACATAGCGAGGTCACATAGCGAGCCATAAGCAGAGTCAGGCGGTGGTAGCCCATGCCCTTAATCCAACCACATGGCATACAGTTTATA